ATCATAATGAATACATCACAACATGCTAAGGGAACAAAGCCCAAGCGAAAACACTCAATATCGGGCACAAATCCCGAAATTACCAAAATCCGAGCCCCGAGCCCACTTCTCGAAACTCAAAAATTTTCACATCATTAGATTCCTTATCTCCCTACAAGTTCATACATATCAAAAGTTCTCAAATCCGACCCCAAACTCAGGCCCACCCAAATTCGTTCTACGCGATCGCAAGGGACCTCACGCGATCGCAAAGGCCAAAAATCCTCTGCAACTGCTGTTGCAAATTCTGCAACTTCTCAACATAGAATTTGGTCCGATTGACCATCCGAAACTCGCCCGAGGCCCCCGGGACCTCAACCAAAGTCACCAACACATCCTAAGACCTCATTCAAACTTGTTCCAATCATCAAAACAGCTCAAACAACATCAAATTACCCAAAACACATCGAATTCAAGCCTAAGTTTTTCCAAAAACTTCCGAAATACGCTTTCGATCAAAAACCCAACCACACCACGTCCGAATGACCTGAAATTTTGCACACACATCCCAAATGACATACCGAAGCTACTGCAACTCTCGGAATTTCATTCTGACCTCTATATCAAAATCTCACCTACCAACCGGAAATCGCCAAAATCTCAACTTCGCCAATTCCAGCCTAAACCTTCCACGGACTTCAAAAATGCATTCCGATCACGCTCCCATGTCCCAAGTCACCTAACGGAGCTAAACAAATCATAAAAATTCCAATCCGATCTCATATACAAATAAGTCAAATCCTTGGTCAAACCTTTCAAATTCAAAGCTTCCAACTGAGATTGTTCCTTCAAATTCATTCCGATTTTTCCTAAAAAACCAAAACCAACGATCTACATCAATCATAATACATAACACGGGGCAAGTCATGCCCGAGAACTGGCGATCAAAGTGCAAAAGCTCAAAACGACCGATCGAGTCGTTACACCCTACTTGTTATAACTGATTACTACAATATTCGCCTCTTTCGATTACAAATAAGTGTAGAATCAATTTTAACATATATGAGCTAGATGTCACTAAATATAGGTTAACATATATCAATACCAAAATTAAGTATTACTTCTTCTGCCTCTTTCGATTACAGAATTAGTAAGAAGTTAATATGTAGTACAAAATAGATAGATGTTAACAAATTAATAACACCCAACTATAAAGCAAACAAAATTTAAATAAAAAGCTTCAGCTCAAGCATGTGAACTTGAAGAATAATATCTACTATTATATAAAAATTTTAAGATCCGTCATTTTTCCCAACACAAGAAAAGTTACTCCATATTGGAGCCAATACCGACAACGGAAATAATCTTGCCCACTAAATAAGAAAATAGAAAGAAATATTCAAGAGAATAATTCCTCCTATTTAATCAAAAATAAGAACTAGAGTAATTTCCAATACTACAATTTATTCAGAACAAGAAATGAAGCCAGAGTAATGGCTAAAAGAAGAAACAGAAGCAAAACTAAAGAACAAAGAGAAAGAAAAACTTTCTGCTCTATATTACACTTCTCGGATTTTTCTTCCTCTTTCCTTCACGAACGATGCCTCTTTATAGGCAAGCCATGACAAGGTTTTCAATTATCTTCTGGATATGAACTTGTCATGGTTGTTTGTGGCCTTGTTATGCTTGGTTATGAGCTTCTTGGTTATGGATCGGTTATAGTTTATTGTAGCCGCTTGTGAGTCGGTTATAGTTTGTTGTAGCCGGTTGTGAGTCGGTTGTCCTTTGTCATGGCAGATCACGTCTTTCTTTAGCACCATATTTTACTCTGCTTTAGCTTGTCCGTTTTTCTAATTTTTACTCTGTAATCTTCTCGTTCCCGGACCAATACTTCTTTAACCTTTCCTGCATAATTTAGACAAAGTATGGAAGAAATATGATAGCTTTTTTTGTGTTTTTTTAAAGAAATTATATGTTAAAAATCAAGTAAGATGCACTTATCAAATTCTCCCACACTTGAATATTTGCTCGTCCTCGAGCAAAAAAAATAACTAAACATATCAGCTAAACAACTTAACCAAAATCATGAGACCTTTCGCCAAAGAAAAAGTAACTAAGACCAATTCACAAGCTCATACAACTTTTAACCGTACTCATATTCACCTATTGAGAGCTGAAATCATAATATTTCCTAATCCCTAGTGTGTCTCACCAAATGAAGAGAGATGCCCATATATCACACAATTTATAGATGTAGAACAAAGAAGGGCATAGATAGAAAAATTCACTCACTCTCAAAAAGAAGTACCTCAAGCTACTGCAAATTGCCATATGCTTGACTATCATGTGGTTCTCCACTAATGTAGGAGTCTTTGAGTCGATATCATGTAGGACTTTTGCAAGGTTGTAATGTAGGTTTAGGGATATGTATGATACATATGGAAAATAGTGACTTAAATTCCCTATAGGCACTACACTTTATTTTATCACTTAAGCACAATTGTCTTTGCTATGATTTAAACAATAACCTCTATTTTGTTTCATCCCTTTCACATTTTTTTTGACGGAGATGCCGACATTTCTTTGTTGCTATCCTCTCCCTTTTTCTTCTCTCTCTTTTTTTTTAAGAATTTCAGAAGCAACTTTCTTTTTCAGTTCTCATGGCAACATCTCAAAAGATTGACAACCTCAAACAATTATTCTTTTACCAATTATTTTTACAATTACACCTCAGGCCTAGATTTTTACATTCAGATCAACTCTTAAAGTGCCCAAAAGGGAATTGGGTGAACAAAGAACAAGTCATAACAACAAACAGGCTAAGGGTTAAAGCTTGGTGATCAACAAAATAAGAGATAATTATGTAGGCTCAACTGGGCTAACTAGGGATAAAAATCATTAAGGTAGGTCAATTTAGGTTATGGCTCAATAAAGAAGGCCTACGTTCATTTCTTAACTCAAAGATCTACCTAGAATTTCGCCTCAATCCACATTCAAGGCAAGTTCTAGATTTCCAGATAAGCAGGAGAACTAGACAATATAAGCTAACAACACAATGCACTTAGGCTAACGAAAACTATGATTTCAATCACCAATAAGTAAGTATGAGCTTAGAAAAGTGATCATAAAACCCGTGTACTTAATCAAATTTGTCTTTTTTAAGTGTCATACTTTTTGAGTCAAATCAAGTTTAGCCAACTTATTTACCAAAATAAGTTAAAACAACTAAAAGTCGTAAAAAAATGTTCGGTTCAAAATATTACGACTAGGGGTTTTCATGGTTCGATTTGGATCGGTTTTTCCCTAAGAAGAAACCAAACCAAGTAAGTCGATTTTTCAAGTATTAGAACCAAACCAAACCAATTAAGTCGGTTTTTTCTCGATTCGGTTTATGACGGTTTTTCAATTTTTTCGGTTATTTGTCGGTTTTTTCTTACATATAAGACATACACTACCAAACACATATTCCGGAGACCACATTTTCAACGTAACACTATCAAATCAGTTGCCCTTTGAGAAATCTATTATTTACCAAGATATATTGATGATAATTGAATCAAATAGTGATGAATAATTTAAGGACTCAATAAAAAAATATATTATTTTTAACACGAAATGGATTCTTACACTTAACAAAAGGAAACTACCAATCAAACTAGAATATAAAGGTAAAGAACTATACTAAAAGTGCAAACTATTAACATTTACCATTAAATTTTTGAAACTTTATATAAAAATATAAATATATATAGGTGTAATAATAAATTTGAAATAGCTACTCCTATAGTCGGTTTGGTTCGATTTTTTTATGATTAAAACCAAAACCAAACCAAATTTGATCGGTTTTTAAAATTCAAAACCAAAACCAAACCAAACCAAAAAGTATCGGTTTTTTTGGTCGGTTTGATTTGGTTTTCGGTTTGGTTCGATTTTTTGGGTTTTTATAAACACCCCTAATTACGACCATGGCAAAGAACCGAACAAGAAATCCATGGAAGTACATGAAGTAAGTTGCCTTAGGAATAAGGCAACTCAAATTTTATTTTATTTTTTCAGTTTTTTTTTTAAATTTTTTTTTATATGTATAACTCAAAAAAAACACATATAACAAATATATTCCTCTACCCCCAAGCTTAAATAATGTCATGTCCTCATGACAAAATAAATTAACAGTAAAAGGTGATAAAGGAACTTCCCTGATTTTTTTCGATTCTAGCTTCATTTCCTTTTTCTTGGCTTCTCAAAGTTTCTCTCATATAACAAAGGCAAGATTATAGCAAAGAAATGTTCTTTTTCATGATAGGAGAAACCTTTCATTGTCTAAATCATGGGAGTATTTTTTTCATCATGGCAAAATATATTAATACATACTACATACACACACACACACACACACACACATATATATATATAAAATATAATATAATATAATACAAACATGCAATTATTATTATTCTTTAACTTTTTTTATAAAAGTAAAACTATTTAATATATATATTACTAAAAGAAATTANGTTCCTCTCTTAATTAAATCGTAATAAAACTCTCAAAACCTACATACACACACACACACACACACACACACACATATATATATATAAAATATAATATAATATAATACAAACATGCAATTATTATTATTCTTTAACTTTTTTTTATAAAAAGAAAAACTATTTTAATTATATATATTTACTAAAAAGGAAATATTATATGTTACTACTAATAATTANNTTAAAGAGCGGGGTAAAAAAAATGTTCTGAGTTTAACGTCGCCAGCTCGACTTATTTTAAAAATTAGGCAAAAAGGATTGTTGAAGCCTGTTTGTCGAAGAATCTGCTGATATAAGGCTTCAAACGATGACCGTTTACTTTGAATTTATCTCCCCCATCTATACGTTGTATTTCAATGGCACCACAGGAGGTAATTTCTGTTACAGTATACGGTCCTGTCCAGCGCGACTTAAACTTTCCTGGAAATAATCTCAATCGGCTATTGTACAATAGAACTTGATCTCCAACTTTTAAATCTTAATGGCGGATGAGCTTGTCATGCCATTTTTTGTCTTTTCCTTATATAATTTAATATTTTTGTATGCTGTAAGTCTGAACTCTTCCAACTCATCAATCTGCAATAGACGATTTTTACCTACATCTGGCAAGTTCAGATTCAACAGTTTTATAGCCCAATATGCTTTATGCTCTAACTCTACAGGTAAATGACAAGATTTTCCAAAAATTAGTCTATAAGGAGATGTGCCTATGAGAGTTTTAAAAGCAATTCTGTATTCCGATAAAGCGTCATCTAATTTTAGAGACCAGTCTTTCCGAGAAGAGCCAACAATTTTCTCTAAAATTCTTTTTAATCCTCTGTTGGATACTTCTACTTGTCCGCTTGTTTGAGCATGATATGGAGTTCTTGTTTTATGAGTTACTCCATATCTTGACAATAAACTAGCGAATTGTCTATTTATAAAATGAGTTCCTTGATCACTTATTATAACTCGTGGAGTTCCAAATCTAGAAAAAATATTTTTCTTGAGAAAAGCATAAACAACTCGAGCATCATTTTTTTTAGTAGCAATTGCTTCTACCCATTTTGAGACATAATCAACAGCTACTGAAATATATTCGCAACCATTTGATGGAGGAAAAGGACCCATGAAGTCAATGCCCCAAACATCAAATATTTCACACACAATAATAGAGTTAAAAGGCATTTCATCCCTTTTTGAAATGTTACCGGTTCTTTGATGGGTCACAAGCGGCAACAAAATTTTTTGCATCTTTGAACAAAGTAGGCCAGAAAAATCCAGCTTCAAGTACTTTAGCTGCTGTCTTTCTTCCTCCATAGTGTCCTCCTATAGCCCCATCATGGCAGTGACTTAAAATGTTGTTCATTTCTGTTTCAGGTACACATCTCCTGATTATGTCATCTGCACAAAATTTAAACAAATAAGGATCTTCCCAGTAATAATGTCTTGCCTCTTTTTTAAGCTTTTTTCTTTGATCGTAAGAAAAATGTTTTGGAATCCACCCTCCCGCTAAATAATTGGCAATATCAGCAAGCCAAGGAGGTTTATTTACAACTGTCGCCACTGAAAAGATATGCTCATCAGGAAATTCCTCTTGGATATCTAGTATTTCAGTAGGAGGATTCTCTAAACATGGCAAATGATCAGCTACCTGATTTTCTGAACCTTTTCTATCTTTTATTTCGAGATCAAATTCTAGCAAAAGGAGTATCCATCTTAGCAATCTAGGTCTAGCGTCTTTCTTTGCTAATAGATACTTAAAGGCTGCTGCTGATACCCAATTTTTCCCTATATATTCTCAAAATAACATATGCATTCATATATAAGCATGCCAAAGTGTTTTAGTATTTTTCCTAATTTCTAAAAGATTTTTAAAATCAATTTATTGCCTATTTTAGTAGTATAAAAACTAATAATTATTTCCAAAATTACCATTTTGGTGGATAATTTATTTTATTTCCCATATTTATACCAAAATATAGTTAAGGTAATTTTTGTATATTTTTTACAAATTTATTTGGTATTTTAAAAGCTAAATTGCATATAATTGTAATTTTAGCCTATTTTAAGATTAATAGCATTTTATAATTATAAATTTGGTTCCAATATTTTTAAACTAATATTTATATATTATTTACTGATTCAGTACTTTTAATTTAATTTCAGAATCATTTTTTACTATTTTTTATAAGATAAAAAGGAAAAACTAGCTATTTAATATGTAGCCCCAATTTATTTCAATTATAGCCAAATTGACCCCTCCAACTGACCCAATCCTAAACTCCCAATTAGACCGGCCCAATCTCAATTATAACCCGACCCCCCGACCCAACCAATTAACCTGCCTGACCTTTTCTTTTAATCCAGGCCGTTGATCGTTTTGATCAACGGCCACGATCACCCCTTACCATTTTTAACCCACCGACCGTACCCTAATCCCTCCATTTCCATCTCTCAGCCGCCTTCAAACACTCTCCTCTCCCAAAACTCTCTCGAAGGTTCCTCGGAACCCTAGTCATCTTCTGCCCTTTTCAACCGCACTTTCACCGGAATCCATGGCTTCTCAGGCCATGGATGGCCTGTACTCACCCCCTCCACCTTTAAACCCTGGGTGTTCAAAGTTTTGAGGTCTGACCTCGATGGTGTTCTTTCAAATCTTCTCAGATCCATGGCTTTGAGGCCTCTCCAGCCTCGCTCCGGCGTATCCAAGCATCAGGAGCCTATTTCTGACCTCTCCGACTCAAGATCGGACTTTCTTCCAAGCCTTTCTCATTTCTAGGGTTCCTATGAAACCCCAGCCCTTCGAGGTTTTCTCTGATTGTTTTCTTAAATCTATGCTATATCTGTGCTTTACTGAAGTTTTAAAACGCTTTCCCCAATTTTTTCTTCAAAATTACTTCTTTCCGATCTAGGGTTTCTGAAAAGCTTAAGATGTTTTTCTGACTCTTCCTTTTCTTTTCTTTGTATGTATTCGTCTATACTATGTTTGTATATTTTCTTTTCTACCACGCATGTGTTTTCTTCTGCTTTCTTTCTACTATACATGATTCGTTTGTGCTTTGTGTTCTTCCGTGCTTCTACACCAGGCTCACATGTTCATCCTGTTGTGTTTTTCTATATGTCTTGTTGATATACTTTTCTGGTATGTTGAGCCCTTTTACTGTATGTGTTTCCTACTGAGTCCTTAAGTTCTTTATTTGCCTTCTTCTGGACTTTGTTTGAGCTTTTTTAAACATGTTTCCTCTATTGTTTTCCTAAATGTCATACTGCCTCTTTTTCTCTTCTGAACCTGTTTAAGTTCCAAGCTTTTCTTAAAACCTTCTACTCTCACTATGCTTTAAATCAGTTTCTTCACTCTATTTGCTTCGAATGTGCTATTATATCTGTTTGTTTTCTCATGAGTCTCTGAAGAAGATCTCTGAGCCTGTTTCAATTACTTGGCTCCTCGTCTCTATATCTGATTCGACTTAGAAACCCTAGAATTTGGGGGTTTTGATGAGGTTGATTTTGTGTTTGAACTAGGGTTCTACTTTGGAACCCTTAACTCTCAGACTCATTTTGAGTCTATGTACTGAATTTGAACCTCTTTGTTTGTGACTCTGAACTTTCCTATACTAGATTCTTTCTAATTAGCATGATAGTTCTTTCTTGTTTGACATGTCTGTATGCTTTATATATGAGGAATTCTTCCTTCAAAAAAGGTTTTGCCAATTTGTGATTGATTCAAAATTCCTTTTAATGTGGTTAACAGACTGGTTGGGGTGTGCCAGCACTGTCAATTGCTAGGTATGACCACCAGCCTATCTTTGCTTTTCTCCAAAAACCCCTCTCGGCACTTACACTCATTCCTAGTTTCTAAGTTCTGCCCCCCTCCTGTGAGCCTTGCCTTGGGACCTTGAGCTCCCTCTTAACTTGGACACTTGAGGGCTGGCTCTTCCACACTGCACTATAATTCAATTCTATAATGAATTTGGGTGTAAGCACTTCCCGGAGTCCATGAGGCTCTTGGGAACTCTGACACACCCAGAAAATGAGAAAGGCTTTGGGAATTCGATCCTTGGAGTTGGTTTACTTCATGCCTTAGACAGAAGACTGATTCAGGCTCTCCTTGGTTGGAAATTTTTAGTTTTTCTGATGTAATTTTACTTCTTTTTTTTTTCTTATTCAATTCTGGTTTGTAATAATCTTGTAATTACTATTGGGGTTTTTAGTGAAAAGGGGAGGGTACATCATGCATGAAAGGGGTAGATGTCATGTTCATAGGAATTTAATACGTTTCAACAATCATGTCCTGTTTTCAGTTCTGCATGTTTCACATAGAAATCATGTTCATAGGTTACATATTTCAGGTAGAAATCATGTTTATAGGTTACATATTTCATATAGAAACCATGGTCATAAGTTCTGCATTTTCATATAGAAACTATGCTTATAAGTTTCTGCATTTTGTATCATATAGAGAACATGTCTATAGGATTCTGCATTTCTGCATCTCATATAGAGAACCTGTCTATAGGATCTCTTAAATTATCCATAAACATCTATCACTAGGCAAACAGTTTATAGGTTCAAATAACAAATTGCCTTCTAGATACCATGCCTATAGGACTTCTGTACTTTTATTTCGACTATAAACGTTTTAAATCATTTAGCACCTAGAAAGCATGCCTATAGGAGCTATCAACTAAAATCTGAATCGCCTATTTTGCCTAAGTCTAAAAATCAGCAAATAGTATGGCTTAATATCTGCAGAGCTTATGCTTTGTATAATCAACAAGTCTTCTTCTTTTAAAACTAGTACACTCCCGCATTGTTAGATATCATGCCTATAGGTTTCGCCTAGGCAAGCCATAAGGTAAATTAGTTAATAAGAACCAGACTTTGTTAAATTCCAACCAGCAGGCAGGTCTGATTCAGGTTTCTTATCTAAAACATGTAATAAATCAGTCTGCCTCCCGCCTCCTTTAAGTTTAATTAAGACCATAACTAGTACGTGCAAGACATGCTAAACTATATGTTTCTCTTTGTTTCTTTAGGAGGCCTGTTTGAGCCTTTAATTGTTATGTGTTTCCCCATATCTGCTCTACATGTTTTGTTAGTCGCCTTAGAATTTTATCCTTTTAAACTATGAAAAGCCCAAATCTCCCTCCCCTTTAGGACTAGTTGTCCCAAATGGCTCCGGGACTGATAGGATTGGGACGGGTAATAGCATGCAACAAGTAACGAGACCATTCCGCGCTTTAATACCTTAACGGGGTGGGGAAGGGTAGATATGGATATGATGACCGGTGCGCTAATACCACGTGTAGCCCCTCTTCTGAGGAGTGATTACCGGGTATTGCTTTGATGTGATCCATATTATTTATAAACTTAGGACCCCCTTCCCTTTTACTTGGTTATTTTCAGAACTTTTAAAACTGCTTTCTTCCCAAAACTTTCGCTTCTTTAACTTAATTGCTCGCAGAAATTATGTGCAAATCCCTTCCCATTTACTTGTTTATTTTCAGAATTTCAAAACTATTCTCTTCCTAAACTTCAACATCTTTAACTTCTTTTACCATTACGTGAAAACTACCCTGTATTTGTGATTCTTGCTTGTTTACTTGTCATTTGCACTTAAAGTCACAATTATAGCATGGTCGGGAACCATACTAGTGGATCTTGAGGGGTGCCTAACAACTTCCCCTCGAGATAATTTCAAGCCCTTACCCAATCTCTGGTTTTTTCAAAATTAAATTTCTTCCTAGTGTCCTAATGAACTAAATCATTAGGTGGCGACTCTTCAATTGCAAACCCAATTCCCAAAAGGAAATGAGTTGTCCGCCCAAATGTCATAAACCCGATTTCGCGAGAAAAAGGGGGCATCGACAGCATGGCGACTCTGCTGGGGATTTTTTTTAAGGCTTTTACCATTTCATGCTATTTGTGACTTTATGTTTCTTTACATGTCTTTACTTGTTTAAATGCCTTTAAGTATTTATTCTTTGTCCTACTACGAAACTAACTTGGCTCTTTGTTTCTTTTCTTAATGCTCTCCTTTATCGCTTTCCTTTAATACCGTTGTAAATTATGAGAAACTGTTGTAATTATTACTCTATGAACGTGCAAATACATGACAATTTGTTTAATAATTGTAACTGCATATTCAACATCATATTCCACTCGTGCCAAACAAAATACCATAGCAACGCTTATAATGAGTGGTTGCGCCCTTCCAATATTATCACCCCTAAATCCGGCAAAGGCATATTTGCGGTAAAACTAGTCGATCAACGGTGTAGTCGACGGTTCCGTGCCTTTCCCTCTTGAGTTGTCCG